ATACTTATCTTGGTATTACTGGCTGTATCTTATTATTATTGTGTCGAATACGGAAAAACGAGCCCTTACGTATACACTTATTACCGTATACATTACCCTATACTAGCAGACTTGGTGCCTTTAGGTTGTATACGGTCAGTTGGTCAGCTGCCATCTCATAATAAGTTCACTTGCTACGTCACGCCAAACAGGCTCATAAAGAGTGTACCACAATCGCCGCCGCAGCTACTGGTGGCGCTAACTGACACTCCCACGTTTAAATTCACATATATACCCAAATAAGTGGCTGACGGGCTACACGACGTGGGTGCTCAGTGGTTGGAGCATCGAACGCGTTATTCGAAGGTCGCAAGTTCAGTTCCTGCCCGGGGTATATATATATATATATATATATATAATGAGATATAACAGACAGTAATGCCAAGGAATGTACAGGGGAAGTTATTAACATTAATGGAATGTAAAGAAGAAAAAGAAGTGGATGAAAAAATTACCAACTGTAAGCAGGAATCGAACCTACGACCTTCGAATTACGCGTTCGATGCTCTAACCACTGAGCTATTACAGCGGCACTCCCTCCATCCACTTTTTTTGGGTTTATCTGTGAATTTAGAAGTAGGAGCGACAGTCAGCGCCATCTATAAGCCAAAAACGAGTGTGAAAACACTCTTATGCGCATGTTTGGCGTCACGTAGCACGTGAACTTATTAGAGCGGGCAGCTGATTAATTGTCCCTCTTATACAACTAACACACCAAGTCTGCCAGTACGAGACCCTCGTTCAATGAAATAAGGAAAGAAGTGTATACCTAAGGGCTCGTTTTTCCGTGTTTTTAACACAATAATAATGAGATATAACAGACAGTAATGCCAAGGAATGTACAGGGGAAGTTATTAACATTAATGGAATGTAAATAAGAAAGAAAAGTGGATGAAAAAATTCGATTCCTGCTTACAGTTGGTAATTTTTCATCCACTTTTCTTTCTTCTTATTTACATTCCATTAATGTTAATAACTTCCCCTGTACATTCCTTGGCATTACTGTCTGTTATATCTCATTATTATTGTGTTAAAAACACGGAAAAACGAGCCCTTAGGTATACACTTCTTTCCCTTATATATATTATATATATATAGATATATATATATATATATAATGAGATATAACAGACAGTAATGCCAAGGAATGTACAGGGGAAGTTATTAACATTAATGGAATGTAAATAAGAAGAAGAAAAGTGGATGAAAAAATTACCAACTGTAAGCAGGAATCGAACCTACGACCTTCGAATTACGCGTTCGATGCTCTAACCACTGAGCTATTACAGCGGCACTCCCTCCATCCACTTTTTTTGGGTTTATCTGTGAATTTAGAAGTAGGAGCGACAGTCAGCGCCATCTATAAGCCAAACAACGAGTGTGAAAACACTCTTATGCGCATGTTTGGCGTCACGTAGCACGTGAACTTATTAGAGCGGGCAGCTGATTAATTGTCCCTCTTATACAACCTAAACACACCAAGTCTGCCAGTACGAGACCCTCGTTCAATGAAATAAGGGAAAGAAGTGTATACCTAAGGGCTCGTTTTTCCGTGTTTTTAACACAATAATAATGAGATATAACAGACAGTAATGCCAAGGAATGTACAGGGGAAGTTATTAACATTAATGGAATGTAAATAAGAAGAAGAAAAGTGGATGAAAAAATTCGATTCCTGCTTACAGTTGGTAATTTTTTCATCCACTTTTCTTTCTTCTTATTTACATTCCATTAATGTTAATAACTTCCCCTGTACATTCCTTGGCATTACTGTCTGTTATATCTCATTATTATGTGTTAAAAACACGGAAAAACGAGCCCTTAGGTATACACTTCTTTCCCTTATATATATATATATATAGATATATATAAGTGAACTTATTAGAGCGGGCAGCTGATTAATTGTCCCTCTTATACAACCTAAACACACCAAGTCTGCCAGTACGAGACCCTCGTTCAATGAAATAAGGAAAGAAGTGTATACCTAAGGGCTCGTTTTTCCGTGTTTTTAACACAATAATAATGAGATATAACAGACAGTAATGCCAAGGAATGTACAGGGGAAGTTATTAACATTAATGGAATGTAAATAAGAAGAAAGAAAAGTGGATGAAAAAATTCGATTCCTGCTTACAGTTGGTAATTTTTTCATCCACTTTTCTTTCTTCTTATTTACATTCCATTAATGTTAATAACTTCCCCTGTACATTCCTTGGCATTACTGTCTGTTATATCTCATTATTATTGTGTTAAAAAACGGAAAAACGAGCCCTTAGGTATACACTTCTTTCCCTTATATATATATTATATATATATATATAGATATATATATATATAATTAAGAATAAAGGAGCACACTTACAAAAGTTTGATCATTGTTACTCTAGGTTTCGGCCGTGGCACGGCCCTTGTCAGGATTAACAGAAATACGAGTATGTGGCTGCTTTTATGGGCAGGCATGAACACGTCAGTACAAAACACGTGCGATCAGCATGTGAGTGTCACAAAAATTCTTTTAAACAGCCGTGACTACACTACAAACCATTAAAATCTAATACACTAGACAAGATTGTGGGCATGTAAAAGGCATTTGTAACATTCACCATGGACGACGAGGATCACGCATGAAAAAAATAAATATGTGATAACCTTTAGGAAGTATATTATGCGTCAGGGATGCTTCTTTAAATATTTCTCAAAATTTCGGACGTAAGGGCATCGTAGAAAGGCATGACACTTTTCCTACGCATTCGTTATTGCTGGATAGCAGACTGTTGAACTTGTGAATCAAGAACGATTCTCGAATTTCGCGATCATGGTGCGATTTAAAGCCAGATTCTAATAGTTTTACCATAATCATGTCAAACGAATGACCTGGTAGATGACAATGCTTGGACAATGGAAGATGTGACAAACTGTTTACGTGTGATTTGTGGTTGTCGAAACGGATGCGAAAAGATGTCTCGGTTTGACCGATGTATTGCATGTGGCAGATTGAGCATTCAAGTAAGTAAATGATGTTGCTGCTATCGCAGTTTAAGTCCCCTTTAATCCTAAGTGAAAAGTTAGATGCCGTGCTTTTAGCAACAGTTGCAGTGGTCATGTGCGCACAAACTTTACATCGCGTTTTTTTACAGAGGTGACAACCAACGGGAGCAATGAATCTAGTCTTGGAAGAAGTTACCATGTCGCGCAAGTTCCTCGATCTCCGATATACAACCCGCGGTGATTCAGTGAAGATTTCCTTAAGCCGATCGCTCTGTGTCAGTATGTTGTAATGCTTTCTGAGTATAAGCGACACGTTAGGAATAGATGCAGAATGCGTTAGAACGAGGTTGGTTCGGGAAGGTGGCGCTAATCGCTTGTCTTTACTGATGAGCTCTTTCCGATCAAGACATTTGGCCCGTTGGAGAGCGTCGTCAATTATTTGTGATGGATATTGTTGTTCGGTTAATGCTTTACGGAGCTGGTCACAGTTGCGAGTGAAATCCCTGTTGTCCGAACAAATTCCTTTAAAACGGATTGCTTGGCTATAGGGGATACTTGTTTTGCAGTGTTTGACATGGCTACTTTTAAAATGAAGATATCTTTGTCGGTCAGTGGGCTTCCTGTATAGGTTTGTCATTAGTTTACCATAGCTTAAAGCTACATTGACGTTAAGGAAGTTTATGGTGACTGGTGAATAAGAGTGGGAAAAGGAGATGGATGGTTCTACTTTGTTAAAGTCTGCAATGAAAGAATGTAATGCCGCTTCACCATGGTGCCAAATTAAGAAAATGTCGTCAATGAAGCGTTTGTAATAAAGTGGTTTAGGGTCACGAGTGGCGAGAAAGTCATTTTCTAGAATGCCCATGAACATGTTCGCATAATTGGGACCTATTTTTGTGCCCATCGAGGTGCCGCTGGTTTGAACATAATGTTCACCGTTAAATATATAATATATATATATATATATATATATATATATATATATATATATATATATATATATATATATATATATATATATATATATATATATATATATATATATATATATACGGCCAGCAGGAACCGGCCTTTGTCAGGGCATACGTGCATTGTCATATGCACGTATGCCCTGACGAAGGCCGGTGCTCGGCCGTAACGTTGGCAATAAAGCATCGTTTTTTGTTGTTGGCTCGTTCGCTTCATCTGGTGACTTGTAAGTCGACCGAATCCAGGAATACTTTCAAGAAACATCATCATCATCATCAACCTGACTACGTCCACCGCAGGACAAAGGCCTCTCCCATGTTCTGCCAGCTAACTCGGTCCTGTGCTTGCTGCTGCCAATTTATACCCGCAAACTTCTTAATCTCATCCGCCCACCTAACCTTCTGTTAAAAGCTTTATATATATATATATATATATATATATATATATATATATATATATATATATATATATATATATATATATATATATATATATATATATATATATATATATATATATATAGTATGGCAAGTCTCAACTTTCAACTTTCAGGAACAACCAACTAACCAACCATGTACAAGGAGATACTGTGTGACGCATAGCCCGTCACTAGAGCCCATGTCCAGCACATTAATTATACCCTTGAATCAAAGAAGTTCTAATTCGATAAATTCTTTGACATTATGACATGCACACGCTTCTTTGGTTTGGCCTTATCTGAGCTTGTGGACATGGAGTACATCTTAATGTGCATGTCTAAACTTTTGCTGCTTTGTGTTTTCGCAAGCACTGCCTCTCGAGTCCTATGTGGGTTAGGTAGGTGATATATTTATTATTATTATTATTATTATTATTCCCATAAGAAACTTTGAAGTTCTCTAACATTATATTAACTTGGGGATTTTCCCCGCAGCCTACCTGTTACAAAGTTGGAGCGAGACAGAGGTACAAGCAGTAAACCTTGTATTTCATCAGAATTTTCATTCCCGTAAAACACTTATATGAGTAATGGTTGTAAAAACTCATTTTTTTATTTCTTGAGGATAACAACTCGAAGAATGGCTATAACAACTCGGCATATGTGGACTTCGTGTGACACAATTTTCATCTTCGTCTATGTGACCCTTCGGCGGCCTGTGAAAGTAACGGTTAATAAAAAATAGTTAGACGGTGATGTCATGTACAGCAGCAATAAAAAACTAAAGGGAACATTCAAGACGACACGAAATCAAAATTACACTGAATGTGCAGGAGTTGAGGTCATAAGGGCATCCATATAATAGGAAGGGACATAATAGGAACTCTCCAAAGAACATTAGCTCAGGAGCACGCAAAATTGTTTCAAAGTTTCAAAAGTCAATGCGTTAGATATGTGATAGCATTTTAGTCAAACGGAAAGATCAAATTTCGAAATTGATCGCTGTTGCACTAAAAGGGAACTGTTGTGAAAGCACTTTAGTCTCCCATTGTTGAACGAAGAAGTAGAACAACATTGGGCAGAAAAATACTTATCTCTTTACCGGTTGAAATAAAATTCAATAAGAATTTTATTTTTAATAAAGATTGCACGTATAGAATTATCTGCACCTCTTCGGACTGTACCACTCGTAATGACGTTCGTTTACTATGCTACATTCAAATTGACATTTTAGGGTTCCCTCCCAAAACTACCACGCCCTTCAGAACAACCACCTCTTGAAGTTTGCTGTTCAGTACAGTCACATGTCACGACAATGCATTGCAGAAATGATGCCAAAGTTCTAAAATCAAAAGGCAACTATCATGCTTTTAACAACTTAAATTTTGTTCCAGTCGTTGTTTGAAATAAAACCATTAAAGCTATTGTCATCAAGTGGGACATGCTACTCCCGTGCTTTTTTTCCTGTTTATCCCTCTCTTCATTATTCACAGAAAACATGTGCCGATTTTTCCGAAGCATGATTCTTCCAGCAATAGCTGCACGCTTACTTGTCCTGTCTCTATTTTACCAACACCGCATCATCTACACTAACGCCTGCCGGGAACGATGCATTGAAAAATTGTGACTCTGGCTTTTACTGTGCCAGTTATGTTTCACTAAAATGCACGTAAAAGCTTGATTGTAAGAACTAACTAGCAGCGAAATTTTTATTCATATGCACTGACTTTGACGTATTGAGTATATTTGAAATCCAGGTCTAAATTTCAGTGATCATTTTATTTTTTTTCAAAAACATCTTTCTTTTGTATTGATACTGTAAGGATATCTATTGAAACATCCAGCGAATGAAGTCATGACATAAGTTTTTTTTTTATTTTGGCAAGCCTCCATGCCACACCACGTGACGCCATATCAAGTGGTGCAGTGTGGTAGTGGTTTATGATCCCTGCAAATATACCTATAGGAACGCATTGGTTCTTTTTCCTACTTGACGATTTTCGCGACTGATGGCGCTGGTCATCTTTTAGACTTTTTTTGTTTTTTGCTATGTATGTAGGCACCTTAACTGCATTCTATCTTCATGTTTTCATTAGCAGCTTGTTGTATGCTCACGTAACCCTAAACATCACGTGCGTCCCCTCGACATCAGAATTCATGCTCAGGCTACCCACGCAGATTTTGTACGTCCTTACGGCTGTATCAGATACCAATAACATATCGTTATAGTTATTGGGTGATGCTATGCTATAACTCTGGACTTTCAAGCATGGAAAAATTGCTCATTGATTTTGCAAACTTCCCCATCTAACAAAATACTCGGGGCACCCCTCTGGCTAAATCCGACTTACATTGTAGTATGCTTTTTTACCGCACATTTCTGTGCCATTGTGGATGGGGCAACAAAACGTGGTAACCATTCTACTGTTCTCCTATCGTACTAACAACTATTCTTCTGATAGATACAAACATTTGGAGTTTGCTATAGTGGCTTTCATTCGTTTTCTTAATACAGATCTGAACAATACCCTTAAGTTTAGGCCCCACTAGTATGTAATTTGTTGCAGTTTATCAGCCCAGCTGTGCAAATATAGGTTTTTATTCTTGTGTTCGTAAGAATGTCTTTTAAACTGGGCAGACGTTACAGTTTTTGGCAGAGGCGTACTTACAAGGATCTTCATGTGAGCCAGAGACGAAAAATGTAGACACCGTCTGCGACAGTTCAACACAAAGAAAGAGAGAGAGAATGACCATTCATTCATTACGCAAGAAATGAAATTTAAAAATATACACGTTCAGCACAGCAGAGAAGCATTTTTTTACTTGATGACGCAGTTGTCTTGCTCCTGTCGGAAGACAACCAAAAGTAAATACTTACAATGTTCAGGACACGTCTTCAATGCCAGTGACCCTTCTTTAATAAAACATTTTTTTGCGATAATAGCTGCTCGTATTATGAAAATATCCTTGTGTATTCACTATGAACGGTGTGCACACATATTTCAATTTTCTGGCCCCACGCAATGAACCATTATCATAAACCACTCGCCTCAACACTCATATTCCGTAAAAAACCTTTGTTAAGTCTATTTGGATACATACGAATGATTTAAAATTGTGAAGCTCATGCCGGCTTTGATTATGCACGTTTATATAAGGCATACAAACTAAACGAACCTGATCAGACCGCAAATATTTCATTTCCAGCACAGGGCATTGGTAAAGTAAAGGGCGAAATTAACCAAGAAAAACACCTGCTTTAGTTTATTCAACAAAAGAAAACACCAGCACTTCCACAAGCGTTTTTTTTCTTTGTTGCTGTTGAGAAAATGAACACCTACACCAGCACTCACACCAGAACTTTCATCACAACAAGAACGTCACGTCTTACCAGCACTAACACCAGCACTAACACCAGCACTCAAGATTGATACCTCAAGTAATGTAAGCGAATGCTTTAAAGACAACACATATAAAAATATAAACACATTTCACAGTATCAAAAGCAAAACATGAACCAGCACTTGCACCAGACTTGCACCAGCACTTGCACCAGCACTTTACGAATCTTTACGGCCAGCATATGCCGTCTCGTGCGAACTGAACACGCCTGTAAGTAAACTGTGTTTCTCTTGATTTGGCTTTAGTTACATTTCTCGATGCCGGAGAGTGGAGGACGCACTCTGATGCGATACTTATATTAGTACACCCTAAGGACAAGTGCAGCAATTAACACTGCGATGCGTTCGTTAGGGTGGAAATGATTACGTGGCATATTGAACTTGCGATAAGAAGTGCATAATGCACCACATGCATAATAATGCAATGAAATAGCAACGAAATTGCTCGTTTTTACAATTTTGAAATAGACGTGTGGTGGATGGATCATGTAAGGCTGTGAGAAATCGATGCATGGCTGCTTTGCGAGTAACTTACACCGGGCATTATGCAGCACGTTTAGTTCCAAAGTTGTTTCTTCGCACATTCTTTTTTTTCTGCCGAACACCTTTCAGGCGTTGTTACCAACATTATTTTTCGTACAACTCTCGAAATAATAACACCCTTTAGATAAGTATCTATAAAGATGAAAAGAATTGTGTACGTCACCCAGTTTACGGGCTCCATGCGCTGGAACGAAAAGGACAAATACGGTATGCCACATCAATACTTCACAATGTTCCCGAGAAAGCTCGTATCGCAGTTGTGGCTGACAGTGGCAGCACTTACAGACTTTACAATGAAACAACTACCGACGAATAAAAAATTGAGCCACTGAACTTGAAAACTGTATTAAAAAAGCATCAAGCCTGCGCTGAATGCGCACCACAGTCACAACGAAAGCTGAAAACGGCTTTTATAGAGCATTTTAACACCCTCGCGGCAATTACTGCAAGCACACTTGTATGGTACTCACTCCACCATATAAAATAATAATTTTTGTAGTTGTCAAACATTCACCATTATTATTGTTGGTAATTCTTCGGAAAAGCATGGTTTTCGCTACAAAATTGTAAGGTTTTACATGGACTTTGTTGATGGTGTTACTGACGACGACAAAAACAAAAACTTACGCCTGAGGATTTTGTATTAAGTTGGAGCTTTTGCCAACCCACTCGTTGCGCAAATCGCATTGCGGGTTGCCTGGTTGTTTCTTTACTATTCGAAAACGCTCTATTGTACATGTTAATACGGTTCCTTACCCGACATGAAGCCGGTGGAAGGCCAGTTTTCAACAGATTTCAACAGTTTTCACAGGCGTCGGTTAGGGGTACTGGGTTGCCGCACACAGTGTTCGGGTTCAGTTTCCATTTAGTTATCAGTATATGCTACAAGGTTATTTATCTGCTTAATTCGCGTGATGGTGGTTACGGACAGCCGTATTGGAGGTGTACGGCCGACAACAACGACGCCAGAGTCGCCCTTTCTGTGATCCCTTCCGCTCCTTCAATTGGAATCGATCTTTAAGTGTTCCGAACTCACTACAGCGTCGCCGTTTAGTCTGCAGATGAATCCACGTGTCAGAACACTTACTGCAGATTATACAATTATCGATGATATACAGTGACAGGTTGAAAATAAAGGTCCCGTCACGGTAGATGTTTTCGTGTCGATGAGAAGGGTTATCCGAAAATACAATCTTCAATAAGGGGTTATAAGCTCAGTGACACAACAAATATAACAAAAGTGGATTTGAAGGGTTTCTCGAAGAAAGGAAGGGGTGGCCTTGTCGTGCAAGCGTAGCAAGTAGTAGCACTAATAACAATACAGTCATCGTACCAATTCGAGTTGGATATTTCATACGCGCGAGGTGCGAACCTTGCCGCAGGTATACTTGAAACCGTGAAGTCGACTGCGCATGAAGTGTACCTTTACAAACGGGCCTCGAGCTACAAAAAAATTTGAACAAAAATATGCCGCGCATTTCTTTTGAAGACAGTAAATATAGAATGCGTAACTCAGTGAAGAGTTCAGCCCAAACAAATAAAAGGTTTCCCGTGTCACCATTCATAATTTTAGGCCGCCTCTGGCTTCTCAAGTTCACAAATTTGGCGGAAAGTAACCATCAATGGCAACGCTGCTCAAGGCACACACCGGCAGCCTTTACACAAGTTGTACAGAACTGAAATCGCGTTCGAAATGTTAAAATGAACAGTATACGTATACACAGGCCATCTCTCGGCTCATGTCCAAAAAGCAGTAGCTTCAAAGCATGCGAATAAACTACGCGAACAGGCACGTTCTCGTGTTACATTACATAATAAGTGTACATGTGGATCAGCAATTAAGGCACTCACTTAGCGTGACTTCCGGTTTTATGCTCTGTACAGGGGCGCTCGCGCTGGCAGCCGCGACACTGTCGTTCAGGTTCGCCCATGCAGAGCGCGGTTCTCGGCGCAGGCCACCCCCGAAGAGCAGGCCCAGGGCGATGATGACGAAGGAGAGCGTCACGCCGACCATGCACAGGGCGGCCGTGATGCGGCGGTGCCAGCGCTGACTGCAGCTGCTCTCGCAATGCGTCTGCGAGCTGTCAACGCAAACGCGGATGCCACGTCACTGCCCTAGCGACCGTGACACATACATGTGCAGAAACTAAAGTACCAGTGAGTACTAAGGCACGCGGCCGGGCAAGTTGGGGTTCATCATTCATATGGCTGGCTTTAGCGCACCACGTAGAGGACGCAGAAGAGGTGCGCGTGTCTCTCTTTTGTGTTGTTGTCGTAGTGTGCTATAGCCATATGAATGATAAACCACGGAGATTATTAATAAAGCGTCTAACTAAAAATAAAAAAATTTCAATACACAAATGACTAGGCGAGAGTATAGACACGATTCGGTAGGCACAAATTGAGACAGCGGGAAGGAAAACTGATTAGTACCAGACACGAAGAAAGAGAGGGCATGGCAGAGTGTCACATAAAGCGGTTGATGGACTGCATTTTGTTTTCTTAAAGCATAGCGATGGACTGCTGGCGCGCTTGGATACTGGTGACGTATCCACAAGGCTTCGAAAAATTGCTAATTAGTGGTGTCACTCTGGTTCACAATATCTCATAATAATTGAACGTATACCTTCCGTCGCAATGCGGTACAAGTTAAACGCAATAGTACACGCGTATAGATGCACGTTTTTTGTTACTAAAATGCGCAAAGTTGGTTCTCAATCCACCACTATGCGTTATATTCTGAACTGAGATGTTATTCGAAATGCGGGATACCTTGACTTCACGTAACTGAATGATTTTTTTGTGGGAGCCTGGCTCTGAGAACTTTTGTAGAATTCTGAACACTAACCGGGTTTTGGCCTGTATATACCTCTAGTTTCATATTCATGCGTTCCCATTCTTTCAGGATGCCCTCTGTGAGGGCTCATACAGCATGAGTGTCACTTTCTTTTTGGTGTGTCGAGAAATCCCAGCAGAGGCCTTTTCGGGAGCAGAGACGTGACCACCTCTGTGTAGAGTGCTCAAGCAGCCGGTTTTTGCTCTGTGGGTCGTAACCTTGAGGCAGTTTCGCGATCTTAGGAGGCGTATCAGGAGCATGCACAGCCTAGTTGTCAGACTGACCACGTCAGAGCCTGATACTGCCGCAAAGTTTCGCCCAACAGAGCAACAAGACTGCTGTGCGCGTGCTCTACACAGACGTAGCCGTGGCTGTACATGACCTGTCTTGTGGCCTCGTTACGGTCTTGAAAACGTACCGCTTTCTTGCTCGGTTGCGTTTGTCCGAAAAGGGCTTTTGCTCAGTTATATTGGATTGTAAATGGCAACGTGAAAGCAAGCTAACGCTCCCCATTCACAAGCGGTATGAGAAACCTTCCCAGAAAAACACTTATGCTGACTTCCTAGAACCGTAAGCTTGCTGCTTAGAAAATCTTCTAATGAGCGGACATCTCTCCTCAAATGCAAAGACCAGCACATCGAGTGTGACACCAAGATCACCGATAGCCTATTCGGGTGAACAAATTAGTTTTGTCATTTAACGTAATTTCGGTATAATTAGTCCACAATTTCTTGATTTTACTGAATACGTAGTGCACGTAGATTCTGCTGCAGGTTATGCGTAACAGTACGCTAGCTTTCTCTTTTAATTAAATCAGTGGTTCTTGACTTTTCCGTTAGCCCTCGATTTCACTTAAGCTATATCGTCTACAACGCTGTACGGTTACGCATTTTCATCGCACAATAATATCCGGCTGGTTGGTCACTGTGATTTTCAATGAATATATCAATAGGCAAGACAACACCAAGCTGCCTGGATATCTTTATTTTCAGCGTTGTAATTTTGTAATAAAAATTAGTTGGTTTCCCGACGTCCACCAATTCAGAAGTTTCGAAAGTTATGTTCACTGCAGGTAGCGCAAATAAGTCTACTGCGCGCGTTGGTGAATAATAAAAAATTACGAGGCTGCTTCAATTTGTCTGTGCCATTTAAAGCGTAACTCTGATGCATTGTCAACCATACTGGTATAATGCCGCTTTCAAATAGTATTTACAGTCCTGGGAAACCTAGAGTGGATAGGTTTGACCAGGTACTCGTCAATAGTAGCAATTAGGCAAAAAAACAACGAGTTACAACATAAAACAAAACAAGGAGCTGCGCCGTCTTGCATGGTAAGTATCGGAGGACTTCACAGGGATATGTTGTCGTTGACGTCACAAGATTCGCTACACCTTTCCACGGCTGGCCAGGGTGTAAACATACCTCCCGTGTCTCTTCCGACGTGCGAAAATCAAGTTCGCTATGTACATCCGACGCCGAGTCAAACTGTGCTAGCTCGTCTGAATTTAACAATGACAAGTTCAGCGATCATTGCAGCTACTCTCTGGACGCAGAAGCATCGCTTTTTGAATTTGACCTACCGGCGCGTGAAGCATCTGACACGCCCAAAATTGATTTCCTCGTTGCTCAATATTGTAAGACCCGACGTCAACAACGACTAAAACGCTGTACACAGCTGACAAAACGACTGTCGTCGCCTCGTATAGGAAAGTGCACACTGCACTTGTCTGCTGGGAAAGGCGTAGTTACTGAAAAAAAAAAAACAGTCGCAGCTTTGCCACAAAGGCGAAGCAATGAACTTAATAGCAACGAATCGGAAGGTCACGCACAGAATGGAAAGCAGATCGAAACGTGACCTGAATTTTTCACGCACAAATGACGCATGAAACATACTCACAGGTACAGATGCATGCAAATAAGCGTCTCAGTTGTAACTTTGCTGTGTCTGAAAAGCACGCGATTTCCGCAAACGGAAGCTGAAATGATTGCAGTGACATTTGTGCACCCGGTAACTACAACAGAATCGTTCAAGGTAAAGCCCGAAATCAGCCAAGACGTACGATCCTCCCCTCCTCCCCACCGCGAGATACAGGCACGCGAAGGAGCGTCGCTCCCCTCCTCTAAGCGGGGCAAAATACGCGTAGGAGATTAGAGCGCGCGCCGCAGTGCGATGCGGCGACGCACACTCATTGCACGATCTTGCTGGTTGATTCACCCGAGATGCCAGTCAGAAGCGGTAAGTGGTAGCTATAAATAGCTCACCATTCGGACGTTGAAGACCATGCTCCTTGGTGGCTCAGTGGTTAACGCCTCGCGCTCATGATTGAGAAAAGTCTTTTTGGGGCATTTTTTTTCTTTCTTGCATTATCATATATATATGTACGTATAAATATAAGGTGAGTGATGGTGACGCCGATACTCGCGGCGAAATCCAGCCCAGAGTGTCAATACATTGTTATCGCATTGAAAGAGTAGGCCCTTGAGTACACACACAGGGTGGCCCGCGTTTACAAGTGTGATTCCAGAATCAGCTAGCAATTACAAAATTTGTTTTCTAAAAAACTAAATGACTTACGGTCGTATATTTTGGCACATATAAAATGGTGCCGACAAGAACAAAATTTCAAAGTTTTATCGAAATCAGTTAATATCGAAATAACGTCCGACTTCCTCTTTCAAAATTAGAACGGGAGCATACTCACTTGCTGTATACACCGCACCGCTGCAAAGGACAGCCGGGGCAGTGCTGTACGCCATGAGCGGCGCTAGAGGTGCCTGAAAGTGTTCTATTTTCCGGCACATCTGCTGGCCATGCTCCCAGGTTGTAGCCGTGATGCTGTTTTCTGTAAATGCACGGAGTCTCAATAATCTGACTCTCTGGCTCCTGCTTCGAAATATAGATCATTTGCCTTATAAGACCATTTAACGACACACACACAGATACATACATATATATATATATATATTATATATATATATATATATATATTATATATATGTATATATATATGTATATGTATATATATATATATATATATATATATATATATATATTGAACGGTTGACGTTTCGACAGATGCCACGCCTTTTTCGTGGCACAATAAGATTTACACATTTTCCGTGTCTTCCTATAGCTTGTCGAGACAGGAGGGAAAGGGTCAGAAGAAAAGTATGAACAACAACAAAAACGGGAGAGAAAGAAATAGGGAGGGGAGAAACGCTAAAAATAATAAGAAAACCTAGGAGATTAAGCAAGAGAGACACGACGGGATTAGGAAGGGACAGCACTTCAATAGAGTAAAGCGAATGTAAACGAGCAACCCCATCATTGCCAACAATACCTCCAACAATACCTTTCAACAATACGACAATACAACATTACCTTTCAGTGCCGGTTAATGGCGTCGGAAGATATGAAAACCCGGTAATTGTGGTGCAGCCATCAACATTCATTATATGCATTCGCTCCTGTCAGTGAAGGAAAAGGAAAGGCGCTTGAAATAAAAAAAAAACAGAGGGGACTGTACGACATCCAGGACCACTTATCTCTGCGTTCCGGCTGTGCTCGAAGGGGCAAAACATTTATATATTGTCAGATTCATACGTTAAAAGCTTTGTTAGGGGGTAATATTATTGTCGTAATTCTAGGCTAGGGGCAGAAAGCTGATTAGAGAGAAGCATTTGCGTCTTTCAGTGATCGTAACGCTGACAGAGTGCCTGTATGTTCATTTATTCTGTTTTTTATCGTAATGAATTTGTAGATAAAGTAGAATTCCCGTTTACCCCTGTTCCCTGATAGTTCAATAATTTTTTTCCAATAGAGAAACCCTGATGCGATCAAATCTGCGGTCTTTTAATGTGCTGTGTTTTGAAAGTGCAAGGCTTGGCATGGAACGTACATGCGCCCGTTGTTTGTTGAATATAATTGTAAACGGCGTGCCTGTGTGGCCCACGTATTACATGCTACATACCCCAAATTCCTGTAGGTATATTACGCTGTCTGAGTCACAGTATAGTGCACCACTTACCCTGTGCTTAAATTCAAGTGAGTGTTTTCCACCACTGTCGTTGTCTGCATGTGTTTTCATACCTTGCATAAGCTTTTTCCGCAAGGGGACACTCTGTTTGAGGTTTCAGGCCTATTTTTGAATTTATTAAATGACCCTTCATAATTTTTGGCCACCTGTATACCAAACAAGGAGGAGAATAAAAATTTTTGATAGTCACACGCTCCGTTCCAATATGTTAAAGTGTTTTCTTAGGACTTTGTTCATGTTCGGTGGGTTGCTCGTTAAAGTTAATACGAAATTTCTGTTGCAGGGTCTGTCGATGACTTTCGGGTGGTTTAGAAGACTCTGGCGGTCCCTATTTTCCGCTTTTTAATGGCGTCTCGATGATAGCTGGCAGGAATTTTCGATGAAGGGCTACTTCGCGCATATGTGTGCTGTTTTTACGGAAGTGCTCAGTGCGGGAGCACATTCGTCGGAATCTGTGTGCTTAGATAGATAGATAGATAGATAGATAGATAGATAGATAGATAGATAGATAGATAGATAGACAGATAGATAGATAGATAGATAGATAGATAGATAGATAGATAGATAGATAGATAGATAGATAGATAGATAGATAGATAGATAGATAGATAGATAGATAGATAGATAGATAGATAGATAGATAGATAGATAGATAGATAGATAGATAGATAGATAGATAGATAGATAGATAGATAGATAGATAGATAGATAGATAGATAGATAGATAGATAGATAGATAGATAGATAGATAGATAGATAGATAGATAGATAGATAGATAGATATTTTATTTTAATGATCAAATATGTGAGGCTGCTGTTCTGATTGTCTTGTTACTTTCTGTGTCGAGTTACGACTACAGTGTGATAAGTAATCATCACATATGCATAGAAGTAAAACCTACAGCTAGCAACACAGCACTTTTAATGAGGAAAATGCGTTCAATGTCCACACAAAGAGAGAAACTTCAATTGAAGGATAGGGGGATCTTGGAGCTTCTAAGGCTGGTCCTCCAGATTTTGGAGCTTTAGTGACCTCGCAACCGTTACACCATTAGCTTTGTGGAATGACTGGTGGTAATCACGCAACACAGTTCTGTCGCTCTACAGTACACTGATTAACGTGACGTTTCACCTTACAAGACGCTTGTAGGCGGGTCTGCTCACAAATTATTTTTGAGGTCCAGCGTGGCTTTCCGGTATGATACTCCTCTGCCACGCACAGGGCCCGGATACAATTCACATTCGATCGCAAGCACCTTTTTTTTCAATTTACTTTTTCGTGTATATCGGTTGCGCCACCAACGCCAGGGCAATGGTGATGGTGATACCACTTAACGCATGCCACTAGTTATTTAGGTATGACTGAAAGAGCCATGATGGTTTTTGTGCGCCGTGCATCATCAGCTTTTGTTTCGTGCTTGTACTGTGATAATGAATATGCCGAATTACGAATTACTTCCTTTATGAAAAAGTGTACAAAATAAATTCATAAACACTACAACTTAATATTTCTACTCTAAACTACTGTCATGAAGTGCGTAACCAAAAGGTAATTAGCGCTTTTTAGTAAACTAGTCTTGCAAATAATATTCTATTTGAAGCAAATTATCTCCACCTCGACATAGAGTACGCGGAGGAAACAACTAAAGTGTGACTGTAATAACTTTTTACAAACTTCCGCATTGTTTTAACAGATCTGACGTTACCTGATCCTCACCAGCAGCTTTGCCCCTTTGCATGCTCTCCAAAGCTTTTCTGACTTCTTCTATCATTACTGGTGGGGTGTAATCTGGGTTACTGCTAGTTCTTATAGTATTAAGGTCGTGGTTGTCTCGGCTACTGTACAGATCCCTGTAAAACTCCTCCGCTATCTTAACTATCCTATCCATATTGGTAGTTATTTTGCCTTCTTTGTCCCTTAGTGCATACATCCGACTTTTGCCTATCCCAAGTTTCCTCTTCAATGCTTTGACACTTCCTCCGTTTTTCAGAGCGTGTTCAATTCTCTCCATGGTATACCTTCTTACATCGCATACTTTACGTCTATTAATCAACTTCGAAAGCTCTGCCAGTTCTATTTTGTCTGTGTACTTGACACTTTCATGATTTGACGCTTCTTAATTAGGTTCTTCGTTTCCTGTGAAAGCTTGCCAGTGTCCTGTCTAACTACCCTGCCTCCAACTTCCACTGCACACTCCATAATGATACTCGTCAGATTATCATTCATTGTATCTACGCTAAGGTTGGTTTCCTCACTGAGAGCCGAGTACCTGTTCTGCAGTGACACTCTGAATTCCTGTACTTTCCCTCTCAGTGCTAGCTGATTGATTGGCTTTTTGCGTATCAAGTTCTGTCGTTCCTTCTTCAAGTCTAGGCGAATTCGAGACCGTACCATTCTATGGTCACTGCATCGTACCTTGCCAATCACTTCCACATCCTGCACGATTCCAGGGTGTGCACTCATTATAAAGTCTATTTCGTTCTTATTTTCGCCATTAGGGCTCCTCCATGTCCACTTGCGGTTTTCTCGTTTTCGGTAGAAGGTATTCAAAATCCGTAAATTATTGCGTTCTGCGAATTGCACTAGGAGCTCTCCTCTGGCGTTTCTAGTACCGATGCCATAATCTCCTACTGCCTGGTCTCCAGCCTGCTTCTTCCCTACCTTTGCATTAAAGTCGCCCATCACTATAGTATACTGTGTTTTTACCTTACTCATTGCCGATTCCACGTCTTCATAGAAGCTTTCAACTGAAGCGTCATCATGGCTGGATGTAGGCGCGTAAGCCTGTACTACCTTCATCTTGTATCTTTTATTCAGTTTAATTACGATACCTACCACCCTTTCATTAATGTTATAGTATTAATTAGTAAGCCAAACAACGAGTGTCTTATTCGCATGTTTGACGTCACGTAGCACGTGAACTTATTATGAGCGGGCAGCTGATTAATTGTCCCTCTTATACAACCTAAACACAGCAAGTCTGCCAGCACGAGACCCTCGTTCAATGAAATAGGGAGAGAAGTGTATACCTAAGGGCTCGTATTTCCGTGTTTTAACACAATATTAATGAGATATAACAGACAGTAATGCCAAGGAATGTACAGGGGAAGGTATTAGAACCAATGGAATGTAATATATATATAATATATATTATATATATATATATATATATACATATATATATTGTTAAACGGTTGACGTTTCGACGGAAGCCCCGTTTTTTTCGTGGCACAATAAGATTTACATATTTTCCGTGTCTTCCTATAGCTTGACGAGACAGGAGGGAAAGGGTCAGAAGAAACGTATGAACAACAACAACAAAAAGCCGAGAGAAAGAAAATAGGGAGGGGAGAAACGCTGAAAATAATAAGAAAACCTAGGAGAATTAGCAAGAAATACACGGCGGGATTAGGAAGGGACAGCACTTCAATAGAGTAAGGCGATATAAACGAGCAACGCCATCATTGCCAACAATACCTCCAACAATACCTTTCAACAGTACAACCATACAACGTTACCTTTCAGTGCCGCTTAATGGCGTCGGAAGACATGAAAACCCGGTAATTGTGGCACAGCCATCAATATTCATTATATGCGTTCGCTCCTGTCAGTGAAGGAAAAGGAAAAGCGCTTGAAATAAAAAAAAACATAGGGGATTGTACGACATCCAGGACCACTTATCTCTGCGTTCCGGCTGTGCTTTAAGAGGTAAACCATTTATATATTGTCAGGTTCATACGGTAAAAGCTTTGTTAGGGGGTAATATTATTGTCGTAATTGTAGGCTAGGGGCAGAAAGCTGATTAGAGAGACGCATTTGCGTCTTTCAGTGATCGTAACGCTGACAGTGTGCCTGGATGTTCATTTATTCCGTTTTTTATCGTAATAAAGTAGAATTCTCGTTTACCCCGTTCCCTGATTGTTCAATAATTGTTTTCCAATAGAGAAACCCTGATGCGATCAAATCTGCGGTCTTTTAATGTGCTGTGTTTTGAAAGTGCAAGCCTTGGCGGGGAACGTACATGCGCCCGTTGTTTGTTAAATATAATTGTGAACGGCGTGTCTCTGTGGCCCACGTATTACATGCTACATACCCCACATTCCTGTAGGTATATGACGCTGTCTGAGTCACAGTATAGCACACCACTTACCCTGTGCTTGAATTCAGGTGAGTGTTTTCCGCCGCTGTCATTGTCTGCATGTGTTTGCATACCTTGCATAAGCTTTTTCCGCAAGGGGACACTCTGTTTGAGGTTTCAGGCCTATTTTTGAATTTATTAAATGATCCTTCATAATCTTTGGCCACCTGTATACCAAACAAGGAGGAGAATAAAAATTTTTATAGTCGCACGCTCTGTTCCAATATCTTAAAGTGTTTTCTTAGGACCTTGTTCATGTTCGGTGGGTTGCACGTGAAAGTTAATAGCAAATTTCTGTTGCAGGGTCCGTCGATGACTTTCTGGTGGTTTAGAAGACTCTGGCGGTCCCGATTTTCCGCTTTTTAATGGCGTCTCGATGATAGCATGCGGGAATTTTCGATGAAGGACTACTTCGCGCATATGTGTGCTGTTTTTGCGGAAGTCCTCAGTGCGGGAACACATTCGTCGGAATCTGTGTGCTTAGATAGATAGATAGATAGATAGATAGATAGATAGATAGATAGATAGATAGATAGATAGATAGATAGATAGATAGATAGATAGATAGATAGATAGATAGATAGATAGATAGATAGATAGATAGACACAGACAGACAGACAGACAGACAGAAAGACAGACAGACAGATAGATAGATAGATAGATAGATAGATAGATAGATAGATAGATAGATAGATAGATAGATAGATAGATAGATAGATAGATAGATAGATAGATAGATAGATAGATAGATAGATAGATAGATAGATGGATAGATAGATAGATAGATAGATAGATAGATATTTTATATATCAAATATGTGAGGCTGCTGTACTGATTGTCTTGTTACTTTCGGTGTCGAGTTACGACTACAGTGTAATAAGTAATCATCACATATACATACAAATAAAACCTACAGCTAGCAACAGAACGCTTTTAATGAGGAAAATTCGTTCGATGTCCACACAGAGAGAGAAACTTCAATTGAAGGATAGAGGGATCTTGGAGCTTCTAAGGCTGGTCCTCCAGATCTTGGAGCTTTTGTGACCTCGCAACCGTTACACCATTAGCCTTGTGGAATGACTGGTGGTAATCATGCAACATATTTCTGTCACTCTACAGTACACTGATTAACGGACGTTTCACCTACATGACGTTTGTAGGCGGGGTCTTCTCGCAAATTATTTTTGAGCTCCAGCGTGGCTTTCCGGTATGATACTCCTCTGCCACGCACAGGGACCGGATACAAATCACATTTGATGGCAAGCACCTTTTTTTTTCTCAATTTACTTTTACGTGTAGTATCGGTTGCGCCACCGACGCCAGGGCAATGGCGATGGTTATACCACTTAACGCTGTCACTATTTTATTTAGGTATGACTGAAAGCAGCCATTATGGTTTTTTGTGCGCCGTGCATCATCAGTTTCTGTTTCGTGCTGGTACTGTGATATATGAATATGCCGAATTACGCATTACCTTTCATTATGAAAAGTGTACAAAATAAATTTATAAACACTACAACTTCATATTTCTACTCTAAACTACGTCATGAAGTGCGTAACCAAGAGGTAATTAGCGCTTTTAGTAAAGTAGTCTTGCAAATAACAATTATTTGAAGCAAATTATCTACACCTCGACCATAAGTACGCGGAGTAAACAACTGAAGTGTGACTGTATAATTTTTTAAAACTTCCGCCTTGTTAACAGACACGTTTTGTAAAAGGTAGCGTCCTCCGCTGTTTTGTAAGTAATCAGGTCCTATGATGTGGTCAATTCTCTTATGTACCATGTCGTAGTTACTCCACACGAGGACTTCTTATCGAGTCTGAGCTGGCTTTCTCGGTCTATAGAATTAAGAAAGGTAGAAATCAACAATAGACTTCAATTATTTCAATTTATGGACCTGCAACATACGTGGACGAAAATAAAGCGTGGGGCAATTGGTAGGCAGAAAAAGACTGTTACATCTACAGTTAGATTTTGGTGAACCTGACGGTTTTTTTTATTGTTCGAACTTCCCATGGGAATACATAGAAAAGCAGTACACAAATAGGCGTTGAAGCGAAAGGACGTTCAAGCTTTACTGCGATAAAACTTTGCTCTCACAAATTCAAGTATGCAAACTAAACATAAACTATGAGTACTACCGTATGGTATCACCACCAGGAAAAAGATAAAAAATACCAAGCATTCGCAATCTAATTTCTAGGAAATGCTCGTTGTCCTTTGTTGCTTTATGTATATTCATTTTATTTCATGTATGATAGTCAGCTGTCACCGTGATTCCGCGAAAAAGGTGCTATCCGTGGCAACTTTACTTGTGGCGATACTTCACGATTGTTTGGCTGGGGCACCTACTGTTTTCGGCCTATACTATCACACTGGCTAGATTTATGAGAGCGCCTCACTATGACAGTATTCAGTGAGTGAGGCGTATATATATGCAGTGCAGGTCCTTCATTCCAGCAATCCAGTAAAGCTGTCCGAACACTATTTCTGGGTAGATTCCGTTCCGTCCCAAAAATATCAAAACAAGTCCACAAAAAGTCATGATTTTTCGACCGTTTTATCGGTTACAATGTTGAAAAAAAGGAGCTGTTATCTATTTTCGCAAGGCGCCGTTCACAAGGGTGATGTGGCAAAAAGCTGCTCAATCGAGGCTCTGCTTGAGGCCGCGTACAAAAGCGAATTCCTTACAGAGATGTTACAGAAATCACAGCATTGCGTGGAACCTTCGCTAACCAACGCTACGTCATAACAATTACAGTCGAAGTAGGCCTAACTGATAAAGGTCTACTGTGAATTTCACTCAGCAAATGTGCATGATAGGAGGATTTACGTTATGTTGTATATCCTGTAGTTTCATCTAACTTACGTGGATTCCATGGCACACCGAATCCGAGCTGCGAGTCGCCGACATGGTGACACCCAAAGGTTCGGGATCTTGCTGTGCTCGAGTGGGGATCGATGATGGTGGTGACATCAAAAGCTGTGGCACATATCCACTTGTGGAAATGGGGTTACCATTAGGCTATTGCTTACTCTCAAATAGAACTCTTCTCTATTGATAAGAGAGCAAAGTGCGCGTGAAGTTAGGAATAGCCAATACCATAATAAGTTCAACGTCAAGAGATTCAGTTTTTATTGGCTGCACGCGGTAAGAATAAGTACGTCCTAAATTTCTGTTAATTCATTAGGTTCAGTTTACCACTCAGGTAAGAAAAACTGTTGCCTAACAAACCTTCCATATGATTTTATTGGTGAACAGAGTTTCAAACATTATGCGAGAGTCTAAAAACGGCAACATCATAGTGTGTAATAGCAACATCAACAAAACTAGTTCATGCGTGGACAAGCGAGTTCATCACAATAAATGTCTGAGCAGTGTGCTCAATAAATATGGCATTCGGCCGTTTCATAACAAGGTTTGCACTTTTCGGAAGCTGTTCTGAAAAACCGTCAACATTTGGCATAAAAATCTGTAATACCATGAAGCATAGGGTATCGCCCGTAACGACACAAACTATATAGTACCAACAAGGTTCTAAGCAAGGCCTAGTTGAATAAAGCAATCAAAATATTAATAAACGTCGACAGCAAGAAGCGAAAATTTCCCGATTTCACAATTTTTCTGATAGCCTCACAATATACCAGTCATGTCAGGTGCGTTCTATTTGTGAATACGGTAAGATTTTACAGAAACCATCGTTAGACACAGCCCAGTGCGATCGCCGTCAACAGCTATACGCCAACATTTAAATGACTACTGCATATTGCCCTCATCTACCAGATGAATTCAGCGACTGTAATATGCGGGATTTCGACCAGGAAGCATCCGAGGGGGAAAAACACGTCTCTCAAAGAAAGAATCGAACCAAGCGCAGGAGGTTCTGTTTTGTGAGGGAAAGAAGAAAACTACCTTCAAAACGAATCGGTTTCTTTGGGTCAATAGCTCCTTGACTAATACCCCAGCTTGGGTGTGTGACACTGTCCAAGGTTATACTCTACCACTCTAAGTGCACTGTTTGTGCACTTCGAGTGCACTGAAGACTCACTCTCCGATTTTGGTCGATCCTCTTTAAGATGCCGTGGGAGGCCTCAGTCAGGGGGAAACTCACTACGTATAACCCTGTGTATTGTCGAAACAGAACAGTCTATTTGAAAGAGAAGTGCGTCTCGCCCAAATCCGAAACTCGAATAAAACAAAAACAAGGACAAGCCTTGTGTTCTTTCTCCCCGTAGATAATGTACCAATACGATAACAGATGAGCGACTTGCACAATCAGTCACAATAACAATGGTTGTCGAGAAAAATTCAGAAAAGTTAGAAGCTCATGTCGATCATGACGCTTTTCTGCACTTCTCGCCCACCTGTGCCTACGGTTGCGCATTGCATACGCATGGCGATGGGGCTATTGCCCATTTCCTATTGACTGATTGCCATAAATATGGTGCCATTTGCGCTTACGTGTCCTGTATTCTGGGATTCCACAAACTGTGAGTGGCCACCTATGACACCCATGCTATGATCTTCGAACAACGCTTGCGTACTGGTGTTAACGAAATAGGGTATAGGCGCACGTGGTAGCGAAGAGCAGGCCGGACATGAGCGAGCAAATTGGTTCTGCAATGGTAAAAAAATTTCATCTGTTTTTCTGCATCAAGTTCTTGCGCTTAAAAAAAAAGTCTTGAGCTGCGAAAGAAAAAGGAAAGCAGAAAAGAAAGAGAGAAAAATGAAAAGCAGACAGCAAAAATACAGGGATCTCATCGATGTGAGTCGGGACGATTGGGAAAAGTTCTAGATATGGTATGGTTGAGTAACCGTACGTCATGCGAGCGTTGCCCCATATAATGTAAATTCAGTCAGATAGATTACGTGACATTATTAGTCGACGACCAAACTAAGTCTTAAGGTCTATAATGTCTACGTTGAAGTCTCCGAGTAGTTGGGAGGTTTTAAGCTTGTAAGCACTTTCTTTTGTTTCGTCTTAATTATGGTTCACTTTTGTCTATCGCAAACCTTTTTGTTGTTCAAATAAACACATACGATTCGACTATACCATTGCTTGTATGCGTACTTTGACAGCGGACACTGAAAGTGGACGACAAAGCCAGGTCCTAATGTTCATATATTGCACGCTGAAGTCGCCAACTTGTTTAAAGGCTTTCTGCAGGTATGTGTTTTTTTATTGCTCAGTCCTGATTATGTGACTATTGATTTTCTTAAACCGTTTTTTATTCATATGCTTAACTTTATCGATGCCCAAATTAGCGTTTCTACACTATTGTAGAATTTTGTTCTAGTTAGTTTAGTTCCAGTTAACCTTGTGGTAAGATTTACACACTGTGCCGCGCCGCACGCACGAACGCCAGATGAACGCACATGCCTTGCTCCTTAAACGGGCGAGAGGCTATGCATATAGGCAAGTGTGTTCCAGAGTCTATAACGTGAAGCCTAAAAGGGCGATACGCATGCCGTGTTTGGAGAGATTTTCTTATGAAACAACCGGGGTGCCAAGCCCAGATCAAGGTCTGTATATAGGGCAGAGTGGTTTCACCCTACATACGTCATCAGAAAACTTCCTTGGAATGCCCATAATGCATGGCGCTCACTCATTATTCCGAATGGGCCAAGAGGCAGGTGGCAAAATGCCTAACAGTCTGTGAAGCTAAACTAAGCTAATTTAATGGAAGTATTAAATATCAAATAAATGGAAGTACTGAAGGATCAAAAGGTTACTCATCTGAGCTTCCTCACGGAAACGTCTATGACCGATAGCCACTGCTTAGAACAAGGACATGTAGATCATATGTGACGATAGCTTATGAACAATGAGTTTTACATGAGCAATACCGACAAGACAATATTCAATTAATAAAAATGTGAACAACAACGGAATCGGTCGTCGTTGGCACTCTGGCATGTAATAAACAAGAGTTAAAATAAAGGGGGATGTTACTACATATTCATTTAGATATAGTAGCGGTAAACGCATGTGAAAATGCAGGAGCACAGACTCTGCAGCGTTATTAGCAATATGCAGAAGTAGGTGACGCAGTGTTTTCTTGTGGGAGAAACTTACCGCAGTTTTAGAAAACCTAAGTTTTGGTGCATGTTACACTACAACAATGTGGTCAAAATCAACGTGGTAAAACTAACCACGTCCTGTTCTACAATCACAACGCTGGTTTCACCGCATGAGTCCTAACACTTCTTTTTTTACCCGCCTCCCCGTGTCACAGACAAAAACCGTGAGTAAATACGATAACACATATTTCGGAAGTGCGTCTTCCTGTTGGTCAGCATGCTTTAATAATACGTCACACGTCGCGATGACTGAACTATCTAAAAAAATACTTAGCATAACACGTGTTTGTGCATGTTGTTGTTTGTCGCACTAAACCATAAATTGTAAGAAGGGGCCTCTCTCGTTTTTAAACGCTGTGCAACCTAAATTTACATTGGTCGTCGCTCCGAAGTGTGTCTAGTTTCTTGCTTTCAGATAGCTGTGGCATGTTTCTTCGCAAATAAGACAAGCCTTCGGTTCAACTTGCACCTTTTGCTAAGCAGGACGAATAACAATGTCTTGTACCCAGGAAACACAAGGCGCGGTGGACGTGCAAGGAGTGAGTGATGATCCATTGTGCTCAACTGCGCGCCCTTTTCGGATTTCGACGCCACGCAGACAAGTGTGCGTTCCGAGTGAGCGCAGTGTAGACACAAAGGTCTTCGACACATGTGCATTACAGGCTGCAAGGCAAGACGGAAATATGTCTGCGCAGAAACGCAGCGCCGGCGATTTCGCAGCAACTGTGAGTATTCGATCTTTTGGTTCGTGTGGACCTGAATTGCAAACTTGCAGGCATTGCTAACATCGTCTGGGTTACCAGCGGGAAGCATCATTAAGTCACAAGAAATAAATGAGATGCCTGATTTGAGTACAGGAAGATTGAAATGTGATGTTTATATGGTGCATGAATCCCATTCGTGCTGATCACGAACGCATATCAAGGCTGCGCCATTGGTTTGAAGCGAAGTCTTATTACTTCGTGAACGTGCTACCAAGCTTTACTTGTTATGGTGCTTGTATGCGAACTCAGAAGTCGCAGGATCAAATTCGTGCCATGGCGTAGGCATTTAAATCAAGACGAAGGGCTTGAGGCGCGTGAGCATAAATTTAGAGGCACGTTAAAGCATTCGTCGTGGCCGAAATCTCGGGAGTCCTCCACCAGCGCGTCTCAAAATCAGGTCGTGATTGTGGCACATGCAACTCCGACAAATATTAGTTACTTCAAGGCGTAGACAACACGTTAGAAGGTGTAGAGCCGTCATCTCTCTATACTCATCAATGTTATTTTGTTCTTGCAAAGTACAGCCAAAGCTAAGCCGAAATTCTGCTGCACATGCGCAGTTGCTCTGTCGAAGCCGGTTGACCTGTGTATAAATTCGTGACATTCCTTTTAATAAGCTTTAGTTAGGAGTCAGCGCTCGTGTTGTCCTATCTTTCGTCTTCATCCTTCTTGCGCTGTGAGTTATCGAAAAATTAACTACGCTTTGCGTTTGTAAAATTTGTGACCTCAGGATGTCTGCAGCTGCAATTACACGATGAAAGCTACTGGCATATGAAGGAATGAAGTAGGGTTACCAGATAGCTGCGCGCAGGACACGTTTCAGGTGGAACTGACTGTCTTTTGATGGGGTAATACCACCAGCAAAATAAAAAAGAGCCTGTTGATTATGTTACGCCAAAATGAATCTCATGACTTCGTCCCTATCGTGATTCGGTGTCCGATAAATAATTGATGCACTTTATTTCGGTGTTTATACTAGTGCAACAACGGGACAACGTATATACACCGAAATGTCATACTAGATTCAATCACTGCAACGGAAACAGCTTGGGTTCATACGTGTACTCTTGATCTCAAGCACACGACACCAAGAACACGGAAGCAGAGAGGTGGTAGCAGTGAAGAATTCCCACTAATTCAGCTCTAAACTAGGATACGTCGCCTAAGATGACAAGGACCTGGAAAGCTAGAAAAGCCTGCGTATTTCATTTCTGGCTATAAATAGTTGGCTCGCCTTTGTCCTTAAAATTGTGTATAATAAGTGTGAAAAGCGTACTCTAGCATATCTGCCATGGGTTCTTCTGATCAGTAAAGACTACAAAATAAGCTATCGTTCATTTTACAGACGAATTCTATTGTACATACAATATGGGCTACTTTTCGTGGCAAGAAATTGCGCCAATCGGAATCACATTGTTACATTTACGGTGTAAGATGAACTAACGACCCCAAGAGATTCATTATGCTCCCCTAATATCTTTGTGAAATGCTAGAATTACTTGTAAAATTGTTTATTCTTAAGTGCTCAACTGATGAAAACCAGTAAATACATGTGCGTTTGAACACTGACACCTATGAACTGAAAAAAAGTGAGAGCTCGACATAATTTGTTACACACTAATTGTACGTTTCTGTTGCAGTAAATAGACGCCGTCACGCGACACTCATACCATAGGCTCATTAGTTACCACCACTTGCGCGAAAGCCTTGTAGAGCACTGTTTTGAATATCAGTACGATTGTTTGGGTTAAACAAGCGTTTCAATTATTGTCACCGATAAACCAAGTTTACAAAACTTCTTTGCCAGTTGCCGGTTCATAACCAGATGACTTCCTGTTTGATCAAATTTGACATGTTAGAGTTGGTACGTGAGTGTAGGCGAAAGGAACCTTTAGTAACGCAGACTCTTGCCCATTTCTTCTTTTCTTGTTCTTGCTTAATCCTCTTATAACTTAACAATATGCAGTGACGTAGCCAGGAAGGGGGGGGGGGCTGTTGAAACTCTCTCCAGATTTTTTAAACTTTGCTCGCATATGTATTCACTCACACATAAAAGCGCACGGATGTACCTGCAAAAGCGCACCAATTTTCTGATAAAACACACTACTAAATTTCACAACTAGACACTGATATGTCCCAGATGACATGTGAGACTACATTTATTCATTTTTCAAGTATGTTTAACCTGTCAGGTAAAATGAAGTACTCTTCCCCTTAGCGCGCATGCACCAGCACATTATAATTTTATGCTAAACAGGGCACAGAACTACTTTAAAGGCAGGGTCTCAATGGTGGTGATTGAGGTGTTAAAATGCCCGGACACTTCTCCACCCCTGCACAAGAATAGTGTGTATTCCGGGTCACGAAGGTCCCCAGGGAAATGAAGTGGCAGTCACCGTGGCCCACGAACGCGTCAACCAGGCGTTCCCGCACGAGATCCGATGCCCTTCCCACGCAACGACACAAGCAAAAGCAAGAGAATCCATACCACTAACTAGTACATTACTGCAACATTATCGACTCTAACGCAGGTCATACACTCCGCCGCATCCAAAACTCATCAGAGACAAAGCCTACAGGGGCCTTCAAACACCATCTTAACCCACGGCGTACTTTTGCACCATATTAGGTCAACGTTGCCTAGGTACATCAGCCCTCATTGCAATGCGGCAGAATTTTACGCGCGCCTCCTTTTGGAATGCAAAGTTAGCGTCCCAAGGCTACAAGCCACCGCAAGAGATGATGATTCAAGCCTACAAAGTTAAGTGTGGGAGGCTGCGATTTCCCAGCCGGACCTGGTGGACTAGCATCAACCCTTCGCATGAGCGCGGTGGGTGATCCAGGCCAGAAGGATCCTGAAATAATGGACCTTCCCCCCTTTACTCACAAGCTTTACGCTATAAATGTTTTCACTCTCTCTCTCTCTCACTCTTGCATAATTTTGGCAGTTGCGATTAAGCATTTTGTCACCTTTGCTTCGATTTTGTTTTCGCCTGGGGTGCACTTGATTAATTTTGACGCAATGGCTTCTAATATTAACCCATGGCGTTTGTTGGAGAAAGCTTCTTAAGCAAGGGGTTTTGTTTTGTCATTGTCGAGCTGCCTTATCTTATGATATTCTTGGTATAAAAAGTGGTCTAAACTTTCTCTTACGAGAAATTTTTCGGACCAATGATTAGTACTCAGAAAGAGATTTTTTCTGAATGCTGATGAGGTTGTCTGTACCATTTTCTTCAAGCGTGTGACATGTGGATACTCTAAAGGTAGGAAACGCCGATTAGCGTCACAGAATCTAGGTACACATAGGAGTGGCGGCAACTTATCCTATCGACAAGTCTACCGCAACATGACTTTGGATTACAAACGTACACACATTTTGCAGTTATGTATTTTGCCGCACTTATTCTGGGGCAGCTGCGTCGGACTTATGGGCATTCTCATTGATCTTGCATGTGTGGACAATCAACACGAAAGAGCAAGTTGCTCCTGGCGGCCCTCTTGCTTCTGTGGATACTCTGGATAATGTTCGGCTACCGGAGCAACCTGGTGCGGCGGGGTACGAACCAAGTGATTCTATCTCGACAACAATTGTATGTAAAATCAATACATGAGAATGAAACTGGTGGCGCTTGGTCTTTGCCAAGGTCACTAAATTATTACCTGCGTGTAAAAATAATTTCTATCATTTTATGTAGTTAAAATACAGAACACGGTGTCACTTAGGTGCATAACTGGTTAGAAAAAGAGACGTTTCACTTACATCTGTCTTTACCACTATGTTCTATTTGAGCTGGTACCGTGCACCACTGCAGCTTGGTACATTTCAAAGAAGAAGTTGTCAAACATTTGTTATGTTAATTTTTAAATGCGAAGCATTTCTTAGCGAATTTCGGCGGTTTGGAGCGTATCTATCTATCTATCTGTCTGTCTGTCTATCTATCTATGCGGGTTCGTGCCACAGGTGAATAGTACTTGGTATCTACCCAGAAACGACGAGAAGACACGTGGGCAATTTTAACGCGCGACTGTTAAAAATACCCGACGTCGGTAGCGTCGACCCAAATCCCAGCTGGAATCGAACCCAAGCAGTCTGGGTGCCAATGAATCATTTTACCACAGAGCTACACCAGGTCTGGAAACTACTTTTCAAATAGACGCAAATCTTTGTGAAACAATAGTATTGGTTGCAGTGCTGCCTACTAAATTTTATAAACATTACATTTGTACTATTTTAATACAGCCATCACGTCGGGTTAACGTCAGATGTGGTTAGTTGCCATGCGCTGAAGTTGATTTTGTAGCAGTGTCCGGGCCCAGCATCTTCGCGAGCATCAGCGCTTCATAACAGCCACTGGTGTTGCTAATGCGCGTGTTTCAGTTGACATTGTTGTGCAAGTGGAAACAACTGTTATGTAAACACCTGCAACTTTTCAACATATGTCTGTGCGTGCAACATTTGTGCATATATTTAGCGTTATTTCATTCATAACGTGTCGCCTTAATAAAAAAAATTGCAACATGGTCACCTTTCCTCCACATGCTTTGCATAACGTGGATTCCCAGGTACGTGGGATCTGCCGAATGTTTTTTTTTTTACCAACCCTCATGTAGAACCTCTAATCTGGGGCCTTTGGTGTAACCGAGATAACTAAATAAATAAACATCCTTGTTACAATATTTTGTTAGCTTTTTATTGTTATCTATAATTGGTAAATTACACCGTCAATCAACACAGGATGCACCAATAAATGAGCCCATTTATAATTAAAAATAAGGAAACTGCTCACTGTAATCGTGAGTACTTTCTGTGCCACGGCAGAGCTAATAAATGAACTAGGGACATCAATAAGAGCAATAATTGGCAAATTTAAGTTGAATGTCCAATTGTTCATTGTTCGAGCACGCGCTATGCGCTCACGCACATGCCCACACACATGCTCGTATGCGTGCACATATCCACAAAGAGACAGAGAGATTCACGTGGTCAGATGGATTGAATTATGGACAACGGCTGAATAACTGCAAACTCTAATAGCCAGCTAGTATTTTGCTAATTATTCGCATGTCAGGAATCAACACGTATCTGAAATCTGCAAATAAATGTTCGTTGTATTTGTAGTACATACAGCTTACAGTGACGGTAGCGAATCTTGGTAGCATAAAATGGCAGTGTTTTGCTGCCTTTCTGTTGTGTCTGGTAAAGCACACAGTTCTTATTCCCAGCTATAGCTGCCTTTGTATAATTAAGCATAAAATCCAAACATTCCCTACTACAATGATGACAACGAGTCGGAATTCCCAAAGGCCGAACATTTTCGAGAGCTACCATTTATTGCTTGACGCATTGCTGCATCATACTGCTGTATAACGCATGCGAATAATTGAATTGCTGCATAAGCAGATGAAAACGCCAGAACTTATTCATTACCATATATTTCAAACTACTGTTCAGCAGTGATATCCTGTATTGAGGAGCACAAAAATTCATATGAAATATCGACAGTGAATAAAAAGAATGCACCTACGCAACCAATGGTATGATCACATCTGTGTTGTTATTTGCTGTTCAGCATTATTCGCACTTTTGCACATTAAAATATTGCTGTTTAGAATAGTATGACGGGGAGAAGTTACGGATAGTGGGGTGCATTAACCGGCAGCAGACTGAAATAAACGAGAATGGTTTTCAAACCACTGTGTTTCCATGCTGTTCAACACACTGCACTGTGGTTCGGGACTAATTCATATTGATTTGTTTTTTTTAGCTGAACGTGAACACATTGAAATTGTGCACCCTCATGCACGGACGCCGCCACCGCAAATCGGTCCGGAGAGTCAAGTGACCAAAATGACCACTGTGAAAGAAAGTACCGATGCGTCCGTGTCAAAGAGTAAGTACTTTTTTGTTACGCAAGGAGGACTAACAAATTGTATGGTCGCGTTACGACGCAGAAAAATCAACCAACGCAATGCAAAAGTGTTAAAACGCGCATCACGCACACAGCCCATCTGCGTCTAACTCACTGAATAATATCTCGCTCTATTAGTTGTGAGGCATCATTACACATCCTGTGGTCGTAAATAATGAAAAAAAATACTCCAGGCCTGCACGAAACGCCGAACACATTAACAGCCAAAGCTGTAAGAGCAGCTTTTCTGGCCTGCAAGTAACAAGCCTGTATTGAGGAGCACAAAATTTCATATGAAATATCGACAGTGAATAAAAAGAATGCACCTACGCAACCAACGGTATGATACTACTTTGTAAATAATTTACTTCGTGAACCAGAATTAATTTTGAAACAACTGAAGTCCCTATTTATAATGGTTGTTTGAGACAGGTATCTTGCTCGGCAGCAAATGGTAGTCAGGTCTACAGTCGTAACAATTAAAGAAGGTGTTACTATCTGCCCCAAGACCGTGGATAAAGGGGGCGGAAGCACCCATGCTTTAGAAAGCGTGACCCTCCAACACTACACGGTAACCAGCTACTAACCGTGAACTGCCCTCGTCAACATATATTGTGGACTCTAGACCAAGGTTCCCGCCGAATTTGGCGAGTAAACGTAACTGTGCTCTAGAAGGGGCCCCACATGGCAACAAGATAATTCACACAATGTGCTTGTTATTTATTTATTTTTATTTATTCGAATACCCACAGCGCCCTATTTGGGCATTACAGTAGGGGGGAGGAGACATAAAACTTGAAATTGATACAGGGTATGAATACCGATAACAAAACAAGTAAGCATGCTCAGCTTATACAGTGTGTACACATTCTCGGGAACACGAGGCAATCAAGGAAAAGTAAAACACAAATAGAAATGCAGACAGAAATCGGCATCTTTCATTTCAACAAAAATTGTGACAGAGCATTTTGAAATGAGGGTGGCGGGGTGGATACAATATATTTTGGTAGGTTGTTTCATTCGTGAGTGGTTTTTGGGAAGAAGGAGTTTTTGTAGGTATTTATGCGACATCGGTATTCGCGAACTTTGCGGGAGTGATCTAGGCGAGAGGATACATAAGTGGGATCTTTAATGTACACGTCTTTATTTAAACCAGTACTACCAATATAAATATTATGAAATAGGTTTAATCTTAAGAATTTGCGCCTGTCCTGTAGGAGAGGCCAACCCAAATGTTTACGAATACACGAAGAGCGGTTAGTGAAATCATAGTTACCAGACACAAAACGCGCTGCTTGTTTCTGAATCCTTTCTAGCGCATTAGTACATATTTTAGTGTCTGGATCCCAAGCCACACAACTGTACTCTAAAATTGAGCGAACGTTAGAAAGATAGAGCGTTTCCTTTAGTTTAGGTGGGGCCTGTTTAAAGATTACGCTTCAGGAAGTTCAATACACGGCTCGCTTTAGCACCGACGTATTCAATGTGGTCGTTCCAGGATAGGTTGCTCGTAAAGAAAACGCCTAGGTACTTATATTTAGACACAACTTCCAAACGATTGTCTCCAAGAAAGTAATTCGTATTTAGAATGTTCTTTTTGTTTGTGAAGCGAACGGTATTACATTTTGAAAAGTTAAGTGTCATGTTCCATGTGGTGCACCATGATAACACAGCATTTAGATCACTTTGTAGTTGAGCAGAATCTTGAGCAGACGTAACGTCACGATATATGCAGCAGTCATCTGCATACATGCGCATGCGGCTGGATACTTGTTGGGTTATATCATTTATAAATATCAAAAAAAGAAGGGGTCCCAGAACAGATCCCTGGGGGACCCCTGATAAGACATCGACTTCGGATGAATTCACTCCCTCGAGAACAACGCGCTGTTTTCTAGCAACAAGATACGCTTCAAGCCACTTCAACAAAGAGGGAGGGATATTTAGAGCAGACAGTTTAAGTAATAATAAATTGTGTGATACAGAATCAAAGGCTTTTTGAAAATATAAAAATACACAGTCCACGTGGCATTCATTGTCGATCGAGGCAGCTATATCATGACTAAATTCAATTAGTTGAGTATCGCAGGACAACCCTTTTCTGAAACCGTGTTGCGTAGTGCAGAAAAAGTTATTATCTTGAAGATGGGAGATTAAATTGGTATAGATAATGTGTTCCATCAATTTACATTTTACACAAGTTAGCGAGATCGGTCTGTAATTTTTTGTTCGCGTTTTGTCTCCAGCTTTGAAGATAGGGGCAACGTTGGCACTTTTCCAGTCGTCAGGTAAACAGCCAAGCACCATTGATTTTTCGAAGAGCAAGACTAGAAATGTTACAAGTGAGGCAGCACAGTTTTTTAAAACATAATTAGGAATAGCATCAGGACCAGGTGCCGCATTTACCTTAATTTTTTGTAGCAGAGCTAAGACTCCACGTTCAGTAAAACATATTTCAATCATTTCTGAATTTTTTCTGACTAACTGAGGGCCGCTGGGTAGGCAACTGATTGTTTGACTGAAAATAAAAATTGAATCTCTCAGCTTTGCCCTTTAAGTCTGCGCTGAAGTTGAGGTCATCTATAACATCTGGAATCGTTTCCTTCACAGCCTGCTTGCTTTTAACGTACTTCCATACTTCTTTCGGGTTATTTTTGATCCTATCAGTTAGGCGACCCAGATGCTCAAGTTCAGCACAGCGCATCTGTTTAGCAACACTCTTGTTTAGTTCTTTTAACGTTTTATGTAGCTCGCGTTGTGGTGTCCTGGCGGTACTTTCGATACACGTGGTGCCTGCGATTAATCAAGGCCTTGAGGCTGCTGTTCAACCAGGGCTTACTAGTTCTACGCTTAGAGGAAAGCACCCGTGACGGAACATTAGTGCGTATCAGTGATAAAAGCTTAGTTTTGAGCAAGTTCCATGTAGTATTCAAATCCAGGTTGGTAGCATGTTGTCTGAACTCCGGTAAAAACTGATCTAGCTCTCGGGAAAAAGAGACATAATCACCGCGATTATAATAAAACACTTTTCGCGGTAACGGATTCGGGTGGCGCACGATATCGCAACTTATTGTTCCAACAACGACTTCGTGGTCGCTTATACCTGGTATTGTTGTGACAGAAGAGATTAGAGTTTGGTCATTGCAAAAAATTAAATCAAGCACATTATTGCAAGAGGAACCTAGTCTGGCAGGACGAGATACAAATTTAAATAGCGAATGAGCGTTAATCATTTCACAAAAAGCAGAGTACAGAAGCGACGACGTGTTAGATTTACGCTGAAGATGGACCCATTCGATGTTTGGCAAATTAAAATCGCCCGCCAAAGTAACACGCGTTGCATCTAGAGCTAGTAATATATTGCTAAGCTGAAACAATGACTCGGGGCCTTTCTGTGAAGGTGGCCTGTAAAACGACCCGATAGCCATTGCGGAGCCTTTAGCGAGGATAACCTTACACCAGACCGTTTCGCAGGATGGGGTATTTAGGTTTATTGGCACGCTACTGATAGCGCTAGACAAGGACGAAAACGCCCCCACCATGCACATTGCGATCTTTTCGATATGCCGTATAGTTCGGCGGAAAGATTTCGCTGTCAGTTATGGTGTCATCCAACCACGACTCAGTGCTCACAACGACGTGTGGCTTTACTAGTTCAACAAGTGCACCAAACTCCTCCTTTTCGTTCTTGAGGCTACGGCAATTTACAACAATTATTTTAAGTTTCGTTACAGCATCTGTCTTTTCGCGCGATAGAGGTTGAATTCGTGGCTATCGGACATTGCACTTCACGCTTTCACTAGCCACCTCATACCTAAAAACTTGTGTGCCAATCTTGAGCTTATTGAAGTTCAGCTTGAAATCACCACCGCGTTCTCTAGCAAACTAGAGTAACTTTTTACGCTCCAATCTAACCTTTTCAGAGTAGTCTTCGCTGATAGAATAGTCGGTTCCCTTTAGTTTTCGCGCAGCGGCAAGCACCCGTTGTTTTTCTTTAAATGACACGTACTTCACTATTATCGGCCTGTTGTTTTGCTGTGAAAAACGCCCAAGCCTGTGCACAGGCTTGGGCGATAGAAAGAGCCCATCTATCGATGTTACAGAAGCATCAACGCTTAGTTTTTCGGAGCAAAAAGTCAAAATTCGTTCCTCAGATTCCGCCCACGTTTCACCAGCGGTATCATCAAGGCCATAACATAGCAAGTTATTTCGGCGTGATCTATTTTCTAGATCGTCTTGGCGTTCGCGCATGGAGGCAAACGATGCAGCAAGTGATTCAACGCAAGCCGTCACACTCCCTACTTCTTCTTTCGAAAGCGGAACACATGATGCGCTGGCTTCAGCACGCTCGACCTTAGCCGCGAGATCAGATACGCTTTGTTTGATAGCTTGTTGCTCACAGCGTAGGGTGCGAATTTCATCAAGAATGTCTGACTGCTTCTGCAACATCTGAGGGATTTGCATGATCACAGAAAACATTTTTTGTTCTTGCTCCTCTGCAAGGAGCCAGGATTCTGCTCGATATCGCCGGACAGCAGCAAAAGCAACCCAACAATAACATCTCTGCTTTCCGAGTAGTTTGTAACAACATGAAATAAATCACAAATAAGCACACTGACACATGTGGGATCTGACGCCAGCTTTCTAAACGGTTTTCCATATACACAACGATAGGAATAACCAACCTGCAGAAACAGTAGGCGTAAATGCCTGGCGTCCATGGCGGCGCCAGATCCCGGAGTGGCAGGTTGAGGTGCCTGCTTAAGTAGTATCCCATCCTGGTGTGACCAAGGTTGCCAGAGGATGAGACGATCGGCTGCCAGCAGCGCTGTCATGTCCAGTGGCGGGTTGCGATCCCAAGGGCATATGAAGGCGGGGCACACGTGATTCATGTTGGCATTCTTGATAGGAAACAAGCACGCTGAGTCGAAGGTGCCGCAGACGGTAGTCATCACCTGCATCAGCTGCAGAAACAGTAGGCG